ACTTTCCACATGAAGCGAGATCCACTCCACACCTCCGACATAGGGTGGGTAGGGTTAGAAAATCTGTCATGCGGAACATACTGTCTCCACGCATGTACTTCCGCCGTTGTACTGTTCCACATGGGTTTGCAACTTTCCACATGAAGCGAGATCCACTCCACGCCTCTGACATAGGGTGGGTAGGGTTATTTTTAACGAGGTGAAGCCCCCCCGAGGGGGGGGCGAAACATACTGTCTCCACGCATACATTTTTCTACCCTCATGTAAGTCACTTCTCTCCACCAAATGTAGATGGAAAAATGTATGCGTGAAGACAGTATGTTCCGCCCCCCTTCGGGGGGGGCTCCACTTCGTTAAAAATAATCCTACCCACCCTATGTCAGAGGTGTGGAGTGGATCTCGCTTCACGTGGAAAGTTGCAAACCCATGTGGAACAATACAACGGCGGAAGTACATGCGTGGAGACAGTATGTTCCGCCCCCCCCTTCGGGGGGGCTCCACTTCGTTAAGATATAACCCTACCCAAACCATGTCTGAAGTGTGGAGTGGATCTCGCTTCACATGGAAATACGTCACTGCATATGATGTGCATTAAGTCTGATTTCGTCGGTATGACAGATTTCCTAACCCTAAAAGTTGTCAACTTTAACAATTAATATATCGCTTCGCAGAGCAGAGCGACGATTTTGTCTAAGGAAAAAGTTGTTTCTCGTTGAAAAACGCGTCGAATGAGACCAATTTGATTGATTTTGGAGGTGGTGTAGCTATTCTGAATAATTACCCAAAAACAAAAATAAAAAACAAATAAAGAAAACAAAATAATAAAAAATAAATATATATTCTGGCACGTCCGATATCTTGATAATAAATAAAAGGAGACTTTAGTGTTATTATATTTTTTGTTTTTACATTATGATTATAATTTCGTATTTTGGCAGCTATATAAATTTTATGTTAAATTGTGAAATTTACATATAATCGGGTAATATATACTAATATGAAAGCGCGATCTGAATGTATTGATATTGTAAAGATATCAAAGAGTCGTGAAACATTTCGACCCACTTCAGGTCTTTTTCAGTGGCAAATATTACCATTTTGACACAGATATATTATTACGGATCCCTAAAACCCGCATATTCTTAGTTTGGTACAATAATATTCAATATCTTACAATTTCCATATTTCTGATAACCATTTTTGTAACATATATTATTCGACGACACGGTCAAGAAACACCACGTAGCTTATATCAAATATACTCTTTATTGCGAGTCTCTCAGTACTGTCTCTGTTCGTACAACGACGGTTACTGCCCAGAATCTAACTGCTTCTACTACAATAGGCGGGACGGCAAAGTACCTCGCGCCAAACGCTACAGAGGGCATTAGTGCTGCCCGGAAACTAAACTTCTTATTCCTAACAATTTTGATTCCACCATTTTGAATCAAAGGTCTAATTTTAAGAAAGGGCATGATACGATTGTAGAGCAATTTAAAATGAGTAAATTAAAAAAAAGCATTAAAATCGGTTGAAAATTACACCGTCCAGCGATTTTTGTCCAAAAAGTGTGCCTTTTTTCCCACTGTGCGACGCCAGGTTTGACCATTATCGAGCTTAATTTCGAAATTAAGCTTACCTATCCTACGCACAATTTTACCGAATTTCCATTTGATTTGTCTTATGTAATTTCGGCAACTTACTCTTTTCCCTTCACTGAAACGTGAACATGGAAAAGTAACAACTTTGCTTTCTTTTTTGGGGATTACCAACTGTAAACGGTTTCGAACTTGTCTTCCTAAAAATAGCTCCGCCGGTGATTTACCCGTCGTTGTATATGGCATCGAACGATACTGCATTAGCATCTCCTGTAAAGACTTCCTTACGTTACTTCCTGTACCACTTTTGCGTTTAAGTGCTTGTTTTAACATATGTACAAAACGTTCCGCTTGACTGCTTGTCGCAGGGTGGTACGGAGCAGTTAGTTTTTGCTTAATGCCACGTTTTTCTAAAAATTCTTTGAATTCTGTCGCAATAAATGTTCTTCCATTGTCTGATACCAACATTTTACGGTAACCAAAAGTCGCCAATATTTCATTCAATACAGAAATTGTATGCGCTGTTGACATATCCTTGACAACATAGACTACAGGCCACTTTGAAAACGCATCGACCAGAATGAAAAACGTATGCCCCATGAAGGGTCCCGCGAAATCTACATGGGTCATTCCATATCAGATTTACAATCAAAATTTTGATTCGCTTGACAATTTTTTTTCTCGTTCTAGAAAGAAAAAAAAGACACGTATTTTTTTTCAAATATGATATGTAAATTTTCCAAGTTATTGATTTTTTTATTTTTAAAGTGCAAAAAAATTTTTTTTCAATAATGCTTCTACTATTCAACGAAGAGTATAGAATACATGATTAAAATATGCCATGGGATCTACTATTAAGTCCATGCTTTGAAGAAAACTCAGAAACGGTATTTAGTACTTTCTATGCAACAATTAAATAAACAAATGGAATTATCTCAAAAGGGACCTCTTTGAATTGAATCATTGTTTGTGTAATTTGTTCGTTAAGTACACAGAACTCTGTGTCAAAATTTGGGAGTGGACCGTTGAATACTTTTCGAAAAAAAATTTTTTTGTGTGACCGCGCGCTTGGAGCGCGCAACGCGAAGCATAGAGTCGAGCGCACTCAAACATTTGTAAGTGAGTCTACGATATTCCGATGAGGTTTTTATGCAGTTTTCACAAATAAAAGTCGGTAAATAATAAAAAGTCTTCTGAGAAAGAAACACTGTTTAATTCGAAAACAGTCATGTAATTTATTAACAATGCAGTTTTACATATTTTTTTAAATATATTTTAAAAAAGAAATTCTCGGAAAAAGTAAAAAAAACCTGCGAAACATTCAACAATTCAATTTTCATTTTTTTGAAAGTACTGGATGTAAAACTGCATTGTTAATAAATTACATGACTGTTTTCGAATTAAACAGTGTTTCTTTCTCAGAAGACTTTTTATTATTTACCGACTTTTATTTGTGAAAACTGCATAAAAACCTCATCGGAATATCGTAGACTCACTTACAAATGTTTGAGTGCGCTCGACTCTATGCTTCGCGTTGCGCGCTCCAAGCGCGCGGTCACACAAAAAAAATTTTTTTTCGAAAAGTATTCAACGGTCCACTCCCAAATTTTGTCACAGAGTTCTGTGTACTTAACGAACAAATTACACAAACAATGATTCAATTCAAAGAGGTCCCTTTTGAGATAATTCCATTTGTTTATTTAATTGTTGCATAGAAAGTACTAAATACCGTTTCTGAGTTTTCTTCAAAGCATGGACTTAATAGTAGATCCCATGGCATATTTTAATCATGTATTCTATACTCTTCGTTGAATAGTAGAAGCATTATTGAAAAAAAATTTTTTTGCACTTTAAAAATAAAAAAATCAATAACTTGGAAAATTTACATATCATATTTAAAAAAAATACGTGTCATTTTTTTCCTTTCTAGAACGAGAAAAAAATTTTCAGGCGAATCAAAATTTTGGTTGTAAATCTGATATGGAATGACCCACATGTACTCTTTGGAATGGTTCCGTAGCCTCTTCCCAGCAATGAACTACTTTTTCCGAAGAGTTTTTACACATGTTGCAATTTGCGCAGTTTTTAACGATATTTTCAATATCTTGATCCAGACCAGACCACCAAAGATAACTTCCCGCTAAGCCCTTCATTTTGGTCATACCAAAGTGTCCCATATGCAACTCTAGTAATATCTTATTACGCAATTTGGTAGGTATTACTACTCGGTGTCTCCTCATCAGTACCCCGTTTACTATGCTGAATTCATTTATATCGATATTCTAGAGTCTTTTTGTCATTTGTTAATCCACCTTTTAGTAACTTGTACAGTTTTCTACGATCCGTATCTTTCTGAGTTTCCTCTTTTATAATCTTTGCTTCAATTGGAAATGAATCCACCACATCGATTAATAACGCGTCAATAGCATCCTGTGTATCTCCTTCACTACTAGGCAGAGGAAGTCTCGACAAACAATCCGCATTTGCATGCACCGCCGATTTCCTGTATTTTATTTGATAATTGAAACCGCGTAAGAATAGTGCATAATGTTGCATCCGTAAGGCACTAAATAATGGCAAGTCTTTGTGTGGTGAGAAAATCTGCACTAACGGTCTGTTGGTCCGTTAATAGTGTAAAAATGTTTCCGTAAAGGAATTGATGAAACTGTTGAATACCATAGATGATGGCGTAAGCCTCTTTATCTATCTGGCTGTACTTCCTCTGCGTAACAGAGTGACTGTGACTGTAAAACCTTCTCTGTTCCATCCGGTAAAACATGTGAGAGGACTGCTCCCACCCCGTATGGGCTTGCGTCGGTGGCCAAAACCAAAGGAAGTGTAAGGTCAAAATGAGCTAAATATTCTTTACTTAAGAACGCTCGGTTAGCTTCCGTGAATGCCTTTTCACAGTCTTTTGACCAAGGAAAAGTAATGTTCTTTTGTATCAACTTGTTTAATGGAAAAACAATCCGACTCAAATTTTTAATAAATAGTTTTTTTATTACCTACCGTAATAGTTTATTAAGCCTAAGAAACTACGCAATTCTGTAACGTTTTGTGGTCTTCTCATTTGGCGAATTGCCTCCATCTTTTCGGAATATTTGTGTACACCGTTTTTGTCTATAATACTGCATCCGATCTTTCGCAAATTCACTTTTACTAAAGTTGATCTTTACATTATGCTTCTGTAATCGTCTTGACACCTCCTTTAGCTTTTGCCAATGTTCCTGCTTGCTCTTACTGCCAATTCGGATGTCATCTAGATACACCACTACGCCTGGTATATCATGTAAAATCATTTCGATGGTTCTTTGCCAAATTGCCGGCGCGCTCGCGATTCCGTACATGAGTCTTTTACATTTGTACAATCCTCTATGGGTATTTAACGTTAATAATTCACAATCTTCTTTACTAACTTCGAGTTGTAAATATGCGTTTTGAAGGTCGATCTTTGAGAAAATTGTACATCCTTCCATTGAAGTAAATAGCTCATTTGTTGTCGGCAATGGAAGTTCGTCTACAATTAAGTTTGGATTCAACATCACACTAAAGTCTCCGCAAATTCTAACTTGATTATTTTTCTTTAATACGGGAACGATGGGGGTTGCCCATCTAGAGACGTTAATCTTCTTCAAGACACCTTCATTACATTAGCGATCTAATTCTTTATCAATCATTTGAACCAATTTGGAAGGAACTGTTCGTGCTTTGTGGAAAACGGGACGTACGCCTTCCTTCAAATTCAGTTCCGCATGTAAACCTTTGTTCTTTAAGCTTTTCGGATCTAAATTTGCTTCGTAATCCTTACTGAGTAATGCAACTTGTGAATCTATTGTACTTTCAATCGTATTTATTGAAACGCATTTTTTATAAACTTCTGCAATTTTAGGCATATTCTGTAATCTGTAAATCCATTCCCGCCCCAATAGCGGTTTACGCTCACCCGGCGTCAAAAATAAATCTAATGATATTTGCTTATCTCTACTTTTCACATTTACTTTTACACGACCCAGTGACTCAATCTCTTTCTTACAAAACGAATGTAACTTTAGACCCGTTTTACGAATGGTCAAACCTGGAAATATTTTTCACGCATTTATTATATCAATGACCGACACCGCAGCTCCTGTGTCAATCTCAAATTCTACGGATCGATCGTTTACCTCAAGAGTCGTTTTAATTTTTGCTCGGGCCTTATTTTGGTCCCCACTGAGATTCAAGACTTCCTCAAGGAGGTTTGTAGATTGTTTTGCTTGGAAACACACCCGTTCCAGATGGCTTGCCTTCCCACAAGCGTTGCATCGTACATTTTGATTTAAGGTACATTTGGATGCCAAATGCCCTTTTCCGCATCTGTAACATTTAGATTTAAAATTAGAACTTAAATTATTTGTCTTGGATGTCTGACTTTTCGGAACCAACGCTGAACTCCCTGCTGCTTCTTGTTTCTTAGGATTCTTCTTGTACTTCGGGGATTTCTTCACCGCTGCTATGTTGATGCTAGCTGAATCTCCCTGGAGTTCCAACGTCCCTTTTTCTGACAATTCCATTGTCGTTGCTATCTTCAATGCTTTATCCAGATTTAAGTCTTGTATTTCCAAAAGTCTTGCTTGTGTTCTTTTACATGACAAGCCGAAAACAAGTTCATTTCGTAAAGCTGTAGGCAGATATTTTTCGAAATTACAATTGATGCTTACTTCCGAAGAGCTGTCATGAAATCTTTGACTTCTTCCCCTTCCTTTAGTGGAACTTAAAGTTTTCTGCTATTTCCAAAGGCACAGGAGCGTAGAATTCCTTTAGAATTCCTGTTAGACTTTCGTACGGCTTAGCGAATGGATCGTCAGGTGCTAGACGATCGCATAAGACGTCGAATGATGTAGCGCCCACATAATGTGAGAAGTACGTCACTCTATCCTCTCCCGTAATTCCGAAAATTGAAAAAGCACCTTCTAGGCGTTGTTTCCATCGGTCCCAATTCTTTGTAGGGTCGAAAGGCTCGATAGAGAAGGTACCTGGTACTACTTTTCAGTCTGATTCGTTCGTAGCTATCTTGTGAATTTTGGACGTTTCCGACGTAACCGCTAAACGTCTCGTTATCAAGAAAAACTTAATTTGGTGATCCTCGTCGCCAGTTGTTGTATTCCTCCTTCAGCAGAGGGAGCTCTGAAGGCTTCTTAGATACAGGACTCACAAGATAGTTTCCTTTAAGGCCAGTCTTTATTGTTTCTGCGGAACAATACCCCGTTTACATTCGCTACTGCTGGCGGTCGGGAAAGAAGTGACGAGAGCGTGCGAGGCCACGGGACGCGAGTTCCCACACACAAGAGTCCTCTACCGTTCGCTATACCTCAGGCGGGACATACTCGCTACTCAACACTTGTGCAAGGCCAATTTCACCTTGACCGAGCTGGGCATCTCGGGCCTCCGCATGAGGAGGACCCTCATGTGGGGCCTCCTCATAGAGGTCCGCTTTCGCAGACGCCCTCAGGGACAAAAACAGAAGTGGTTACGGACCCGGGGGTGCGGATCGTCCGCCCCGAGTTGTGCAGGGAACTGCGCATTCGAGGTTTGGATGACTTGTCAGTCACTCCTGAGGATGTCCGTGTGGCCATGTGCTAGATGGTGGGGGGGGGGGTCGCCGCCTTACGGCCTTCGCGGCCTTCGCCGGGGCCCGGGGGGAACCCTGGGCATATGGGCTCGTTGCCCAGCGCGTATGGCCGGGGTCTTGGTCGACCGTGGGGTGGGCAAGGGCGGCGGTAGAATTACTGCCGCCTCGCCCACTGCAATGTTTTAGGTGTTTGGCGAGGGGCTATGTGGAGGCGCGATGCCCTGCGGATACCGACAGCCGCGGCCGATGTTATCGGTGCGGCGGCAACGATCACCTCTCTGCGGGGTGTCGTACCGCTCGACCCAGCTGCGCACTCTGCGCTGATTTGGGTCGGGCTGCCGATCATCGGCTGGGGTCCGCGAGCTGTGGGGTACCCTCTGTGCCGGCTAAGCCTCGAACGCATAGGCCTACCCCCTCCCGGGCCGGCTCCTCTTCTCCTCCCCCGGGAGGAAGAGAAAGTCGGCAACGGGTAAGGGGGTAAAGAACCCTTGTAAGGTGCCACTGAGAACAGGGACTGGAAAACAAGGCACATCAGCGAAGAGGGGGCCCGTCACCCGACGGGCCGCTCGCCTTGCCAGCGAACGCGGCACGTCAGCAAGGGGACCGACCTCCGGGAAGGCCACCCGCCCCGCCATCGAGGGAGGAAACTCAACGGACGGTGCGGGGAAGGAGGAATCCGCCCCCCTCCCGTCGGGGTTGACCCCGAGGGTCTCCTTGAAGAGACTAGTAGGGGGCCATCCGTGCCGGGGTGGGACACTTAACTCCTCCCCCGATTCAGATGGTCTCGAGAATCCTTCTTGGCGTACAACCGAGGAGATCCTTAATGATCTCCTGGGCGAGGGGATGGACGTTGAATAAAGGTTCCTCTCCTCGTAACCGTCTATGGATCATTCCTCATTTTTAGTGGGGTGGGACCACGGGCATTGCACCAAGCCCGTGGTTTTTATCCGCTCAGGGCTGTGACGGGGTGATTACGGGTAATAATCGCTCCGTCATTGCACTCGGCCCTGGACGTTGCGTGAGGGTGAGCTAGGTGTAGGCTCTCCTTCGCTTAGCGGGGTAGGTCGGGGGAGTGTTCCTGATATAGCCCCCTAGGGATGGTAAGCAGGGTTGGAGGGCGGCCCGACATAATGCCTTTTGGCGGTTCCGGTTCGCCCCCTGTTTAACCCAGAGGTAGTACACCCCCACAAGTTTTAGTTGGTAAGGTAGCGCCCCCGGTGGTTAGCATCGGACCAAGGGCGCTGAGTTCAACATATCCTCTCGGCCTTCCCGGGCCGAGGGGAATGCATGAGCATTTCTCCTGAGTTATCAAAAAAAGATTAGGTTAGGTTAGGTTAGGTTCCCCCCGTAAAGCGCCACCTTGTCGTGGTGGGGGGGCTTAGGCGGGCGTTCGACCGGGAGCCGTCCGTGTGCCGTTTTAGGCTCCGGCGGTTCCTTAGGTCGGGCGTCCGCTGACCAAGAGCGCTCCGCTAGACCCTCCGCAACTCATTGCACGCCGGTGCTCCGGCAGAGTTGCGGGGGGTGGCTCTCCCGTCGCTGGGCTGGACGTGGTCCTGTCTCGGCGGCGGGGGAGGGTCCGACCCTGGCGGCGTAACCGTACGTGGTGCGGGTCGCTGGGTGGGCTGACAGTAGGAGGGCCGGGCCCACAGTCCAGTGGGTCCGGCAACGGACGCTGCGGGCCGGTACTCCCTGTGTCTGGGGGCGACGTCCATTCGGGACGTGCGTCCTGGCATGGGGAGCCGGTCCCGCTTGTCCCAACGAGGCGACGGGCTGCCGGGGCCGCTCGGACGTTTCCGAGGCGGGGCTCGATGGCCTGGGACCCTCCGGAGCCGCTGGGACGTACTCCCAGGTCGGGGTCCGGGGGGCCGGAGGCGGGGGGCTGTCGCTGGAGTCGGGGGTGTCTTTCTCCCCTGGCTTGCGGCGGCAGCCTGCTCGGACGAGGGGTGCTTCAGGGAGTCACGACCCCTGTCGCGCCCCGTGCCGGGGGGCCCATCGTAACGGCCCTCGCGTTCTAGCGAGGACTACCCCCCGGCGGAGGAAGTGACTACGGCCGGTCGCCATGGCGGGTAAGGTGGAGGGGGGACGGGCCGCCCCTGACACCCCAACCGTCCATGAGGCCCCCCGCGTGGCAGCACCACCGCGGTGCCTGAGGAGTCGGAGACTCAGGACCCCCGAAAACCCCCTCGCATTGAGCGGGGGGGGGGGCGTGTAAGGGGCTGGAGGCCTGCGCCGGGGTGAGGATTACCCCCGGCCCGTGCCATATCTTGGCCCCCCGGGAGGACTCGGGGCCTCCCCCAGAAATGGGGGAGGAGGGCACGTCCTGGCCAGGGCAGCCGCGGTGGACAGTGGGATTTTTTGAGATGGAAGACAACAAAAAATTCCAACTTAGAGCGAAGAAGACTCCTTTTATGGAGTTCCCCGACTTGACCCTCCCTTCCTATGGGAGTGGGGGTGCGGGGCGGGAAGCGTCGGGGGAGCCGTCCGTCAAGGTAGGAAGGATGGAGATGGGCGGGTCCTTCGGCGACGGTCAGGACACCACACCGTGGTGGGAGGTTGTCCATAGGGCAATACTTGTGGATGAGAGTGATCCCTTCAAGGAGGGATATGAGCAAATGGCGTCTCTCTCCTTGGATACGCTCGTTGAGAGAGTTTACGCCGAGATAGCAGAGTGGAACTCGCAGCTCCGCCAGGGCGGGGAGGGGCTGAAGCAGATTGAGGAGGACACAAGGGAGCAGCTTGAGGCAGATATGTCCCACGCCACGATCGCTTGTATGGTGGGGATATATTGCCTCCAAAAGAAGGCGCTCCATATTCAGGAGAGGGCCGCGACTTACCGCGCCGAGCGGGATGAGCTCCAGGCCAGGCTGACGATGGTCGAAGAGGAGAAGATGAGGAGGCCCGCCACGAGGGAGGCTGCGTGTCAGACGCGGGGTCCCCGCAGCGAGAGTGTGGCGTCCCAAACGCTCGTAGAAGAGGCTCCGGCCAAGGACGGAGGTCCTTCATTGGACGGGAGGGTAGACTCGGGAGCGGCGCCGGTGTGTCTGGGGGATCTCTGCGAGGGGATCACCCGGGACATTGGGGCGGCCTTTGAGGCTAAGTGGAAGGCCGTGGAGGCCAGGCTAGAGGCGCTTAAGCCCCCCTGGGGACCAGCGCGGGGAGACGGGCCCCCAGCGGTTGTGGCGGAGGCCCAATGCGGGAGCGAGAGGAGGGCTGTGGACGACGGCCCAGGGACCGCACCCAGGCGGGGTAGTAGGTCCCAGAGGAGACGACGTGTTGGGCGGTTTGCCGGGAAACCGGGGAGCGGGGGCGGGGCGGTCCGTCTCCCGCGGGAACCGGAGACCGCTGCAGTCACGGTCACGGTCCCTAACGGGACACCGGGGACGTATGCCGCCGTCCTCCGGACCGCGAGGGAGAAGGTCTCTCTTAGCGGTCTGGGGGTCGTCGGCATGACGTCGAGGAGGAACGCAAACGGGGGGTCTTGTGTTTGAGATCCCCGGGGAGCGCAGAGAGGCTGGCGCGGCTGCGCTAGCCAACAAATTAGTGGGCGCCCTGGAAGGCACAGGGACGAGGATTGCCAGGCCGGTGATAACCGCGGAACTGCGGGTCACCGGTCTGGACGATCTGGTGACGGCGGGCGAGTTGGCCAACAGCGTCGCCTTGGAGGGGGGATGTGGGGCGGAGGAGGTCAGCGTCTCGATGTTGCCTCGCTCCCTCCCATGGCAGCAGGGGGTCGCATTCGTGCGATGCCCAGTTCGGGTTGCGCGGGTGCTGGCACCCAGGGAGAGGATCCGGGCGGGGTTCTGCTGGGCGAAGATATCGCTTGTGCAGCCCCGCCCGAAGAGGTGCTTCCGTTGCCTTAAGGAGGGTCACCTCCGGCAACGGTGCACCGATAAGGTGGACCGCGGTGACCGCTGCTTCCGATGCGACACCGCGGGACATCTAGCGAGAGGATGCACGGGGGCCCAGAGATGTCCGTTGTGTATGGACCTCGGGCTCCCGTCCGCCCACAAGCTGGGAGGGGTGGGGTGCGGCCAAGCCCCCGGCAGTAAGCCGGCACAGGCAAGGGGCGACCCCACTCTTCCGCCAGGTCGCCCCCCTTCGCAAGAAGGGGTGGTGACGGTGGGAGGAGGGGAGTGTTCTATGGAGTGCTCCCCGGAGGAGGGCTCCAGGCGGGAGCCTGACTCAGAGACGGATACGGTGGTCCTGTCTGTCTCACCTACTCGGCTGACACCATCCGAGAGAGGGGGAGGGGGAAGGGAGCAGCGCGAAAGGAAGAGGACTTAGGTCCAAGTCCTGCAAGGCTTCACTCCCCGTTTCACTCTGCCCGTAACGGGCGGGGTGTCTGGCGTCCGGGTTCCGCCGACGAATAGGCCCGGCGTAGCCCCTGCCTGTCGTAAGAGGCGACTGAAAGGGGAGAGAGGAGAGGGTCTACCACAAATACGGGGACCCATGGGGGTGGGCGCAGCTGGGAACTGCGACTCACCCCGCCCCCAACACCAACGGGGGCGCGTACACTGCGTCAGATGAACGCCCAAGAACACACGGGCGTGGCTCAGCCTGAGCCAAGAGGGGCGCACCACGTCTAGGTGCGCGGCGCCGAACCGGCCTGGAGATATGCGTCGCAGGCCCCGGCTGGTTCAACATGGCGCCAAGAAGACCACTCCCGGTGGTTTTAGTGAGGTAGGCACTCCCATTGCACGCTGGCTCCCGGGTCGTCAATTGCCTGGGAGTACAGGGGGGTGAGTCCCACACACCACACCGCTTCTTTCCCAGAGAGGCGGGGTGACGGCCCATGAGGGTTTCCACCGGGTAAAAAAAAAGGTTATGTTAGGTTAAGTTCCGTGGGTGGAGCTGCTGGCCGGGCGCCCCCTTCAGTGCTTCAAATGCCTGGAGAAGGGGCACGTCCAGTGGCTCTGCCCCAGCGCCGCCGATCGTAGGCGGTGCTGCCTGCGCTGTGGGGCCGAGGGACACATGGCTCGCGAGCGTGTGGCCCAGCCGAGGTGTCCGGTATGCCTTGCCGCCGGGCGCCCGGCGGGCCACAGAGTGGGGGGGGGGGGCAATTGCCCGGCCCCGCCACGCAAGGGGACGTGGTTCCGACCGGCCGGTTGGCAACCCTCCAACCGTCGAGACGATAGAGAGGGTAGGAAAGCGAAAGCGCCGCGGCGCCGACGCTTGCCGCCCTACCACCGCCACTGGAGAACATGGCAGCGGACCTGAGGGAGGGGCGAGCGAGGGGGGCTTGGTTTCACCAGCGCCGACGCCCGCCGATCAGTGTTGCCGACTTCGCTTCTCTGCATGGCAGTCAAGCGCGTGGAGGGAGTAGAGTGGGGGTAGCCCCTCAGCGCTCGACTGCCATGCAGAGAAGCGAAGTCGACAACACTGCCGCTGATGTCTCGGC